TTCTTGAGTCTTTAGAATTTGCATGTTAGGATCATTCAAGCGGTGTTGATCATACCTCTTGTGGAGTTATTCGAATCACGAGTTTAGAAACGAGTTTTCTCTACTCTTGATATTGATCATCAAGGTAATCCGTTCTTAAACTTTTCCTTGGGTTGATTTCATACTTGTTTTCGGGGTTTTTGGGATTGAGTTCTATGGGTCTTGTTCGTTAGCAAGGTTCTTAGATCCAACTCTCAGTTCTATACGTCCACAAAGCATCATCAAGCTTAATAGCCTAGTCTTTCCTATTCACATTCATGGACTTCTCTAAAATTGACTTTATTGCCCTATTTGATACCTCCGCTAATCCATTAGTTTGAGGGTTATATGCAGTTGCAATCTTGTCATGAATGTTATAGTTTTTCAACAAAGTACTTACTACTCTATTTAAAAAGTGCGTACCCTCATCACTAATCAAGCATTTAGCTGTACCATATCTAGTGAAGATAAACTTTTGCAATAAGAGAGAAACTACCTTGGCATCGTTAGTAGGGGTGGCCAAAGCCTCAACCCATTTTGAAACGTAATCAACTGCTAAGAGAATGTAAGTCTTACCGAATGAAGGTGGGAACGGACCCATGAAGTTGATGCCCCAAACATCGAAAAGTTCAACTTCCAATATTGGGTTTAAGGGCATCTCATGTTTCCGTGTTAAGTTACCTGATCTTTGACAACAGTTACAACCTTGAGTGAATATGTGAGCATCTTGAAATATGGACGGCCAAAAGAAACCACTTTGGAGAACCTTTGCCGCAGTCTTTCGTCCAGCAAAATGTCCACCATATGGAAATTTGTGGCATGCCTCTAGAATCTCCTTCTGTTCATGCTCAGCGACACACCTGTGAAGAATATTGTCAGGTCCTAGTTTAAACAAGAAAGGTTTATCTCATCTATAAAACCTAACATCATGAAAGAACTTCTTTATCTGGTACTTACTAAAGTCATTAGGAATTATATTTCTAACCAGATAGTTTGCATAATCAGCATACTAAGGGACTTCAGAAATAACTAACAGATGCTTGTCGATAAAATGCTCTCTAATCTTACAACTATCATGCTGCAAAGAAGACTCTAACCTATACAAATGATCTGCTACTTGGTTTTCTATTCCTTTTCTATCTTTTATCTCTAGATCAAACTCTTGTAGCAATAATATCCATCTAATTAACCTAGGCTTAGCTTCTTTTTTAGTAAACAAGTATTTAAGTGCAGAATGATCAGTAAACATTTACACTTTAGTCCCAATCAAATATGAAAGAAACTTATCAAATGCGAAAATTACAGCCAAAAGTTCTTTCTCAGTCACAGTATAATTAACTGACTACTATTCAAAGTTTTACTTGTATAATAAACAAGATGAAGAACTTTACCTTTTCGTTGACAAAACATCACACCTACAGCAAAATCACTTGCATCACACATTAGTTCAAATGGCAAATTCCAATCTGGTTCAATTATGATAGGTGCTGAGTTAAGTGCATTCTGAAGTGTCTCAAAAGCTTTCAAACAATGATTATAAAAAATAAACGGTCGATCCACTTCTAATAACTCACACAAAGGTTTTGAAATTTTCGCAAAATCTTTTATAAAACGACGGTAGAAACCCGCGTGTCCTAAGAAACTTCTAACATCTTTTACATTTATAAGAGGGGGTAGTTTTGCAATCACCTCTATTTTAGCCCTATTGACCTCAATTCCTTTTTCTGAAATTCTGTGACCTAGGACTATACCTTCACGTACCATAAAATGGCACTTCTCCCAGTTAAGCATAAGGTTAGTCTCTTCACATCTTTTTAAAACTTCCTCTAGATTTTAGAAACAAATTTCAAAAGATTCACCACACAGAAAAGTTATCCATGAAAATGTCTACCGTTCTTTCTAGCATATCAGAAAAAATAGCAGTCATGCATCTTTGGAAGGTAGCGGGAGCGTTACACAGACTGAACGACATCCTCCGGAATGCAAATGTCCCATAGGGACATGTGAAAATGGTCTTTTCTTGGTCCTCCGGTGCTATTGAAATCTGGTTGTAACCTGAATACCCATCTAGGAAGCAATAACACTCCTTCCCTGTAAGACGATCAAGCATTTGGTTAATAAAGGGTAATGGAAAATGGTCTTTTCGAGATATCTTATTTAGGCGACGGTAGTCCATACACACTTTCTAACTAGTTACCGTCCTTGTTGGGATCAACTTGTTGTCATCATTTGTAATCGTCGTCATACCACCCTTCTTGGGAACGCATTGAACCGGACTAACTCAGTTGCTATCAGAAATAGGGTAGATCACCCCGGCGTCTAACCATTTTATGTTCTCCTTCTCGACCACATTTTTCATTTTGGGGTTAAGCCTCCTTTGACACTCAATAGAATTGGTGGCTCCTTCTTCTAGGATGATTTTGTGAATGCAAAAAGTAGGGCTAATTCCTCTAATGTCCCCTATAGTCCATCCAATAGCCCTCTTATACTTCGATAAAACTTGCAAAAGCAAAGATTCATGTTCATTAGTTAAGTAAGAAGAAATGATAACCGACAAAGTATCATTTAAACCCAAATAAGCATATTTTAAAAGAGAAGGTAGGGGTTTCTTCTCCAATTATGGAGGTTCAATGATGAAAGTTTGCAAGGTCTTCAAATCCGCTATAGTTGGCTGCAAGAACTCAAAATGCTCAAATTGGGGTAAAATTGCGCCGGGCGCAATTTTGGCTTCTTTTTCTGCGGCCTCCAAATCAGCTTCTAAGTCTTCCACAATCATTTTCTGGAGTTCCTCCATGATTGCCCCTATCGCAGAGCAGTCTTGGACTTTATCTGGGAGACACATCGCATTAAGGACATTAAAGGTTGCTTGCTCATCATTGACCTTCATCGTGATCGCTCCTTTTCGAACATTGAATACCGTATCTCCAGTTGCTAAAAACGGCCTCCCTAGAATGATCGGCACCTCAATATCTACTTCACAATCCAAAATTATGAAATCGGCGGGAAAAATAAACTTATCGACTTTAACAAACACATCTTCTATTTTTCCTTTTTGTTTCTTTATGGACCTATCAGCTAGTTGTAAAGTGATAGTAGTGGGACGAGCTTCTCGTATATTTAACTCTTTAAAGACAGAAAGAGGCATAAGATTATGCTTGCTCCTAAGTCACATAATGCTCTGCCTAAGTTCTTACCACCTATTGAGCAAGGGATAGTAAAACTACCTGGGTCTTTATATTTAACAGACAATGGATTTCCTAGAGCATCACTACTACACTTTGTTAGGGCTACTGTCTCATGTTCTCCTAACTTCTTACGCCTAGATATGTGTCTTCCAAGAACTTGATGTAGTTAGGCATTTGTTCTAAAGCATCTATGAGAAGTATATTTATACGCAACTGTTTTAGAATCTCAAAAAACTTCTTAAAATGATTATCCTGATTCTTTTTTACTAGCCTTTGGGGGAAAGGTGGAGGGATCTTAATATTACCTACCTGTGGGGTAGTGCTGGGCACTACTTGCTTACCTTTATCCGCCTTCTTATTTTTTTCTTCTGAACTTACGGGTTCTGCTTTCTCTTCTTGTTGTGGATAGGAGGTGGATGCAGGAATAGGTGTAACTGTATCAGTTCCTTCAGCTGGAAGTGAGGGTCCTTGATAACTTAGTTCGCTTCTTGTGATAACCGCCTTACAGTGCTCTTTTCTCTCACGGTCTCACTTCGGGTTCTTTGTGTGTCCACGCAATGAACCTAGGGGTCTAGATTTTTGGTCATTTGCTATCTGCCCCATTTGCACCTCCAAGTTTCTTATCGCAGCATCTGTTTTTGTCATGAACTCTTTCATCATGGCCTCCAAACTTGCGTTGCTACCACCTTGCTGAGTGTTATTTTGAGCTCTTTACTGATTGTATTGTTGAGGCTGCGACGCCGATTGAGTTGGAAAACCAGGAGGAGTATAATTTTGCTTGTATTGCTGAGCGGGTGCTTGCGCACTGCTACTAGCTACCCCTTGGTTACTCCAGGAAAAGTTTGGATGATGCCTCCCTCCAGGGTTGTAATTGTTTGAATATGGATTGAAATTCCACCGGACACCTTGACCTGCATAGAAAATAGACGCTGGATTAGTTGAATAGTTCTCATACAAGTGGTTATCACCACAATAGACACAAGATATATCTGAAATTTGTAAGTCCCCGACAACGGCGCCAAAAACTTGTTGGAATTTTCTCTACCTTTAAAAATATTAGAAACTCGTGCAAGCGGACACGGTCACAAGTAATACTTGGTAGTAATCCAAGGTTGAATCCTCAGGGACTTGTTGCTTTTCAAAACAGTTTTAAGAAGTGAACGGTTCAAATATGTAATTATGATTTAGAAAACAAAATGTGATGAAATGTTGTTGTCCAGGGTTCTAACTAACAAGCAATTTAATAAAACTCAACCTTCTTGTCTCCTACCTTAGTTTTGATGCAAAACATAGAAAACACACTATGTTGGGAAAATGCACCAGGCGCAATTCCTGACTTTTCTTGGGATTTGAGTCCTACTATTTCACTATTACTTTTGGTTGTTGCAAAGACTAGGGTAACCTACAATCATGTGCGTATGTGTGATTACAATCCTAGAGGATATCTACAAACTCATTTGCATTATGGGTCAGAGGGCCTATGCCTACGACCATGTTTTATGCGCTTATCCCTAAGTCACATCCCATATTGGTTTCCTATTATTTTTCATAACTCACCTTTTCCAATGTTGGACTTTGGTGTATAAATCAAGTTTCTACTGGCCAAATAGAAAAAAAGACGTAAAGAGAAGTTTTTAGAAACCAACCTAAGAAAGTGCTAGGAGTAATCTGGTTAAAATCCCGAGCATGTTGAAAATTAAATCGTTTGACTAAGGCATTCCACAAGGAGGTTGATAACTAATTTAGAACATAATTAAATGAAAGTAAATGCACGAAATCATAAGGAAAGTAGTTTTCATTGAATTTAAATGAATAAATAAGCTGTACAATGAGTTCTAGCTTGACCACTTCTCTCTCGAGCGTGAAGGGAGTTGAAACTTGCTAAAGAACTTTAAAAGAACAGAATGAACAAAGAACAGAAGTAAAAACTTGAATTAAAAGCAATACAAAAGGTAAAAGCATGAAAAACAAAGAAATGAACAACTAGAATTTAAACATAAACTCTAAAAACGTGTTCTACAACTAGAGAGCAACTAAAAGAAGATGAAATGAAGATTGGAAAGGATGATTTGCTGATGGAGAGATTACTTCCTTTTATAGCATTATAGGTTGGTTGAAACTCCCCTCTATTTTAGGTGGAAATGGGTTGAGATTCACCTAACTACCTCACCTAGACTTGGACTCACAGTTTTAAACATGTGGGAAATGTCCTCATTGCCCTTCATTAATTAAAACGTGCATTTGACATTTTGTCCTCCAAAAATGTGCCAGGCGCAATTCTGCAAAAACAAATTTATGTTCTTTTCTTCCAACTTTGACCGCATTTTTCTCATATTTTTCCTAAAGTACCATGTTTGACTTATGCAGAAATAACCTATGCATCTTCTACTTTAAGAATATTTCGTTCTTTTTGGCAAATAATGATGGGAAAGGGGTAAAAAACGTGGTCAAACAGGGCTACTGACACATGTTTCTGCAGTAAAAGGTCAACCTTAACAGCTTCTTTTTGGGCAATCAAACATGCTACAGCGGCTCGGGTCCTTGACCTGGAAATTGCACTAGGTGCAATTTCTGCCACATTTTTCTTTTTTCGTGTTTTCTTCACCACTTTGGTCAAGCACACCTCCTTCAATGAGATCTCTACAGTAGCAACGAAGTTCGGGTCAGAAACATTCAAACTCGACAAAGAAGGGGTCTTACCTTGTGAGGAAAATGAAGATGATTCTTCCATGGCCTCATTAGGGACATCCACAGGACCGAATGCTCCTTCTCGCTCTTATGCAGAGGACTCCTCATCATCTTGCTGTGATTCATGCATCGGAGTTTGTATTCTTACTATTCTTACTTCATATTGAGATATATCATCATTTTCTTTTTCCTCCTCATACTCATCTCCATGCACTTCTTGGGGTAATTCTCCAAGATCCTCATTCAATGCCATCAAAATTTCAGTAATTTTTGATGTTGTTCGTTCCCATTCTAAATCATCAAAACCTAAAGACTTTTTAGTCAAAATAGGATCTGGAAAAGAGGGAGACAAAATACCTTGTAGAGTGGCTAGTGGAGTATCCTCCAAAATTGCGCCAGACGCAATTTGGCAGTGAATTTCTACCGTGGCTGAATTTGAATGCTCCAAGGGCTCCATGTTGTGCTCAGAGTCTCCACTAACTTGTTCTTAACCTTCAACATTCATAGCAATAGTAGCAAAAATAGGGGGTGGGATATACACTTCTACAGATTCGTAAACGGGGTTATCTTGAGAAGAATTCAACCTACGGGGGATACTCATACTGTTTAATTCAAGTTGAATTTCCTCACTCATTCTCCTCGAGTTTTCCATAAATTCTTGCCATTTTACATTTAGTTCCACAATCTTAGCACAAATGCCCTCATTCTTTTTATCCCTAATTTCTTTCTTTTTATTTACCGTATCCGCTCTCTCATTAAGTCGATCAATTCTCTCTTCAAAAGCAGCACCTTTTTCATCCCAGGATTGATTTTTTGAAGATAGACCTCACCAAATTCCTCTAATTTCTTCTAATTTCTTTTCCAAGGATTTATTAACCGTAGCATCATGCAATTCTACATTGATTTTTTCAGCATTTGCACCACCTAGGGTTAGGTTCTTTCTAGGGTTCATTCTTAAAGTCTCCTCAAATTTTTTCCTTTGTTCCCTAGGATAAAAACCTAGCTTTTCATGATAAATTTTAGGAGGTTCAAGAGGAATCATATCCAGTTTAGTTGGCGGCAGCAACAACATCTTCTTCTTCCACTTCTCTTTGTCGCATGGCTTGAAGGAGGAAGAGCCTTCCATGGTTCTTGATCTCTTGCTTCACGATCAACACAAAAATTCCTTTTTCAAACCCTTAGTGTACCCAAAAAGAGAGGGGTGTGAGAGACTTGGGGATTCTTGAAGATTTATTGAGAGATAATTTGAAAACAAAAGTGAGAGATTTGGAGCGGAAATCGCCAATGAAGGGGTTTTGAAAACTTAGGGCTTTTTGTTTTATGTTTTAAAACATATTAAAAACAGAATAGGGTTTAGTGTTGGGACTCTTTTTGATTTAAAAATAACCCAAAGCCCATTTAAACATAACCCAAATAAAGCCCACGAAAACCATGCTCCAAATTCGAAAATCAATTTTTTCTCTTAAATTGTGGCTGGTGCAATTTTGACGTGGGTCAGATCTTGATCCTGCAAAATTGAATTGCAAAAACAAAAATTAGATTTGAAATCTACACAAAAAAAGCCTGAAAAAAATGTAAAAATTTTGCAAAAAGAAGATAAAAAAATATTTTACATAAAAACCGCCCTCAACACCGACAGAGGGACTGTTCTCACTGTTTTTTCATGGATCTTTCAGTAGTACAAAGGTTTTGCCTCTGTCAATATGCTCACCAAAGTATTTCTTGACTCGATGTCCGTTTACTTTAAAAACATTACATTTCGAATCACTTAAATCCACAACTCCATCTAGACTTAAGCTTACTTGGAAACAACGTTAATCTAGAATTGAACAACAAAACTGAGTCTCCAGGTTCCAAATTTTTATCCATTATTTTCTTATCATGCCACTTTTTGGTTTGTTCTTTATACATTTTAGCATTCTCATAAGAAAACTGACGAAACTCATCCAACTCATGTAACTGTAGCAATCTTGCTTCACCTGCAGCAACATAATCAAAATTTAGTTTCTGCGTAGCCCAAAATTCTCTATGTTCTTATTCTAACAGAAGATGACATACTTTACCAAAAACAATGCGATAAAGGGACATGCCTAATGGAGTTTTATAAGCAGTTCTATCCCACAAAGCATCATCAAGTTTAATAGCCCAGTCCTTCCTATTCACATTCACAGACTTGTCTAAAATTGACTTTATTACCCTATTGGATACTTTCACTAATCCATTAGTTTGACGGTGATATGCAGTAGCAATCTTATGATGAATGTTATACTTTTTTAACAAATTACTTACTGCTCTATTTAAGAAGTGCGCGTCCTCGTCACTAATCAAGCATCTAAGTGTACCATATCTAGTGAAAATGAACTTTTGCAAGAAGAGAGAAATTACCTTGGCATCATTAGTCGGGATGGCCAGAGCCTCAACCCATTTTGAAACATAGTCAACAGCCAAGAGAATGTAATTCTTATCGAATCAAGGTAGAAACAGACCCATGAAGTCGATGCCCCAAACATCGAACAACTCTACTTCCAATATTGGGTTTAAGGGCATCTCATGTTTCCGTGTCAAGTTACTTGATCTTTGAAAGCGGTCACAACTGTGAGCGAATATGTGAGCATCTTGAAATAGGGATGGCCAAAAGAAACCACTCTGGAGGACCTTCGCCGCAGTTTTACGTCCACGAAATGTCCACCATATGGTGATTTGTGGTGCACCTCCAAAATCTCCTTCTGTTCATGCTCAGCAACACACATGCAAAGAATATTGTCAAGTCCCACCTTAAACAAGAAAGGTTCATCCCATCTATAAAACCTAACATTATGAAAGAACATCTTTATCTGGTGCTTATTGAAATCATTAGAAATTATATTGCTAACCAGATAGTTCGCATTATCAACATACCAACGGATTTCAGAAATAGCTAACAGATCCTCATCCACAAAATGCTCTCTAATCTCACAAATATCATGTTGCAAAGAAGACTCTAGTCTAGATAAATGATCTGCTACTTGGTTTTCTGTTCCTTTTCTATTTTTTTATCTCTCAATCAAACTTTTGTAGCAATAATATCCATCTAATTAACCTAGGCTTAGCTTCTTTTTTAGCAAATAAGTATTTTAATGCAGAGTGATCTGTAAAAACTATCATCTTTGTCCCAATCAAATACGAATGAAATTTATCAAATGTGAAAACAACAGCCAAAAGTTTTTTCTCAGTCACAGTATAGTTTAACTTACTACTATTCAAGGTCTTACTTGCATTATAAATAGGATGAAGAATTTTACCTTTTCGCTGACCCAACATCGTACCTACAGCAAAGTCACTTGCATAACACATTAGCTAATATGGTAAGTTCCAATCTGGTTCAATTATGATGGGTGCTGAGCTAAGTGCATCCTTAAGTGTCTCAAAAGCTTTCAAATAATTTTCATCAAAATCAAAGGGTCGATCCACTTCCAACAACTGACACAAAGGTTTAGAAATTTTCGAACAATCTTTTATAAAATGGCGGTAGAAACCCGTGTATCCTAAGAAACTTCTAACACCTTTTATAGTAGTGGGAGGGGGTAGTTTGGCAATCAAGTCTATTTTAGCCCTATCGATCTCAATTCATTTTCTTGAAATTCTATGACCTAGGACTTTACCTTCACGTACGATAAAATGATTCTTCTCCCAATTAAGAACAAGGTTAGTCTCTTCACACCTTTTTCATTCTCTAAATTCTCTAAGCAGACATCAAACGATTCACCACACATGGAAAAATCATCCATGAATATCTCTACCGTGCTTTCTACCATGTCAGAAAAAATAGCGGTCATGCATCTCTAGAAGGTGGCGGGAGCGTTACAAAGACAGAACGACATTTTCTGGAACGCAAATGTCCCGTAGGGACACGTGAAAGTGGTATTTTCTTGGTCCTCCGGAGCTATTATAATCTAGTTGTAACCATAATACCTGTCTAGAAAGCAATAACACTTCTTCATTACAAGACGATCAAGCATTTGGTCAATAAAGGGAAGTGGAAAATGGTTTTTTCGATTTAACTTATTTAGGCGACGGTAGTCCATACACACTCTCCAACCAGTCACTGTCCTTGTCGGGAACAACTCATTGTCATCGTTAGTAATCAACATCATACCACCCTTCTTGAGAACGCCTTGAACCGGGCTAACCCAGCTACTATCTGAAAGGGAGTAGATCACCCCAGCGTCTAACTATTTTATTATCTCCATTTTGACCACCTCTTTCATTTGTAAAATAAAAATAACATAAAAATAATAAATATTGTCTAATCATCTAAAACTTGCCAACTCACCGGTGCCACGTCAACATACGTTGCTTTTTGAAACTTAGGGACTAAATAGAAACCTAAACTCAAACTCAAGGACCAAAAGTGTATTTTACCCAAAATTAAAATATGTAAATGAAAACATATTTAGTTCTAAGAGTGAATTGGACTAATGACTAGTGAGACTCATGGACACACCAAACAACAACAAACTAAGATGATTTTATGAATTTTCAAGTATAATATTAATACAATAATCATTTTTTCATTATAGGTAAATCAAATTAAATAAAATTAAATAAAACAACGCCCTGCTTTTATTTTTCCCCTATTTTTGATATATTTTAAAAAAACCTAAAGTTCATCATCTTACTCGGACTCTTTTGCCTTTGCCGTCATCCTTCATCTTCCTCACGCCGTCATTCAAGCTTGATTACCTTGATGATGCAAATTCACACAATCGATCGCTGACACTACAAAAATTATGAGTTTTTTCGACGCTGGACAAACATATTTTTCTTGACTAAAGAATAATAGTTGGGAATTTGCCGACTATTGACTAAAATAATCAGGAAAGGAATAAATTTCCTGACTCTATTTTAAACCCTTCAGACTATATTGTTCTTTCCTACTTTTTTTAAATAATATAACTCTCGACTATTTTAAGAATAGTCGAGTGAAGTTACTCTTATCGACGCTTTGCTTAATAGTCGGGTAAAATTTTGTTTTTATATATTACCATTCCCAACAGTTTTTTAAATAGTCTCAGGTTTATATTCCCGACTATTTTAATATATAATCGGACAAATTTTGTTCTTAATTTTTTTTATATTACCAGTTCAGACTAGTTTTAGAAAAAGTCGTCATAAGTGGACCTTACGCCAATATTTTAATAAATTGTTGGACACTATTGTTTTTAATATTTTTATTCAAATATTACAATTCCCGACTATTTTCGAAATAGTTAGGAGATAATATTCCTGACCATTCTAAAATAGCATTGGTATTATTCTTTTAATTGTTTTTTTTAAATATTACAACTTCCGTCTCTTTCAAGAAAGAGTCGGGAAAAGTGGACTTTCTCGATTATTTTAATAATTGTCCGGCAATATTGTTTTAAGAGTCTGGTCAAATTTTGTATATAAGAGTCTGGAGATAAATTATTTATAAAAGTATAAATTTGTTTTTAATTTAAAAAGTTTTAAAACTTGTCTTTTAATAAAATAATAAAGAAACTAGAGGGTGTTATAAAATTTTGTTAGGTTGTAAATAAACCGTGTAGGGAGAAGGGATGTTAAAATCCCCTGATGCTTGTTCTTGTCCCACATTGGGATTTTTTTTAAATGATTATTTTTAAAAATAAATGACAAAAATAATGTAGATTTCAAATAATTACCAAAATAGGATAGATACATCACAGGGATGTGCTGCGATTTGACCAAAGTCGCAGGCATGGGCTGCGATTGCATCGTAAATCGCAGCCATTGCCCGCGACTAATGCAAAGTCGCAGCCATTGGCCACGACTTCTCCCTGACATAGCTCCATGTAGCCATGTCTCTACTGACGAGCTATTTGTTTTTTTTTTGTTTTTTTTTAAATTTGGGAGTCTCTTTGTTTTTTGTTTTTTGTTTTTAATTATGTTGAATTTGGAAGCCACTTCCATTTGTTCGTTTTTTTTATTTTGAATGCCGCTTCCCACCTTTTTTTGTTTTTTTTTAAATTTTATTTCAAAAATCAGAATTTAAAAAAACGACTAAATTGTATAATCTTAATTTTCTCCATATTTGGAAAATAGATCATGCATTGCCTACAAAATGATGGGCATCTTTATAATTTAAAACAAAATAATTATAAAACAAACAAAACCCTAATTATCCCTACCCCAAATTAAAAAATGGTCTCTTTATACCTTGACTTTTATGTTTTTTTATTAATTTAATAATTTTTTCGATTTAGTTTATATTAAAATTAAATGTTATTTTATAGAACATATCAAGATGAAGCACAATAATATAAATGACATTTTAATCATCGAATTGGTTTTAATCTAATTTTAAACTTTCAGACTTTAAATGACATTTTAATCAAAATTTAAAATATAATAAAAAATAAAAAAGTAATCACATCTTTATTAAAGTTCACAATATTATTAAAATAACAATATATAAGATTAAAATAAAAATAAAGTAAAATAAATAAATAAAAAGGCTGGAGTCGACTTAAAAAAAACAAAAAAAAGTGAAAGTCGTGTACATTGTAAGCGACTTCCGCCTAGTCACCTGCCATGTTTGCAGGGAAATTACAGACACTGTAGGCAAGTTTTGACTTTTATTTTGATCTAATCTATTTTTGTTAATAATTTTGAAAACCTAACTTAACTTTTAATTAATTAATTTAAATTATATTTATTTTCCAGTTATTTTTAAGCTAACATTATTTTTTAATTTATTTTTAAAATTAGATTACTTTAAAACTTTGTCTCCCATTTTAAAATCCATGATCTTTTTTTTTTCTGTCCCATTCGAACTCTCTCCCCGTCCTCTCTTTCGAAGCGCCAACGTCGTCACCCAACCCGGCCACTCTCGGAGTTCTCCATTGCCGCCATTGACAAGAAGCTTCTGCGTTTTCTCATTCGTAAGTTCTCCTCCTTCCATTTTAATAAGTTATTTCGATGCTTCTCAATATGGCCGAAGAATCCCTAAATCCATATCTGATTTCACTATTACTGTATTTAGCTCAAATTGCTTTCCAATTTACTCTTTTGTTTTGATGTGAAATGGAATATTCTCTATCTTCTTGCTCGTTCTTCATTTCGCCGAATCAGGTTTCTTCGTTGGAGTGATTTTCTATTTAATTAGTTCATATATAGGAAACATTTGAAATATTGAACTATAGAAATATTTGGGGGATTTTTTGTCATAAAGTATTTATCTTTCGCTAAATTTACTAGGTGATTTTATAGTTGACTGATACTTTTTAACCAATTGCACATCTTTTTCTAACTTTTGATATAATTTCATTTAATGTCCATACAGCATATAGCTAAACAAAAAGTACCTGGTTTGGCAAGTGATTTGGTGAAGAAGGGAAGGCACATTCATATTGATGAGAAATCCACTTGATATTTTGGTAAGATACTCGTGAAATTTGTTTCTCATTACCATTATGTTGGTATGCAACAAGGTATCAAACGAATGAATAGTACTATACCAGTATTACCCTCTTAATATTGGTACCTCCCATATGAATTAAACCTTTATTTGAAAAATCAATCAGTTTACAAATATCAGCTTAGGAAAAGGGAATATATTTATTACTTTGAAGTTCAATTTTGTTTGTAGTTGTTGAGTGTAATAACCATATATGCGTTTTGCATTCTTTGGATGGTTTGTTCTGTGTACATTACAAGTTTCATGATAGTCACCCCACTCTTTATTTATCCATCTTAGATTAATGAACTTGTCTCAGCCATCCTACGACAAGGTGATTCCTGCAACCTTTTATGAATTGGGCTTTTCTGAATTGGGTATCTGTTTACAACGAGCTGAAAGAGTTGGGAAGACCCCCACCTATCACTGACGCTGCTGAACTTCAAAAGGATCTTGAGGTGTTACTGCTTTCTAAATTACCACTTATATTGTGGGAATGGTATTTACCATTTGCATGAACAAAAACGATGTTGTGAATGACAAATACATTCATTCTGGGTTTTAAATCCTTGTGGAGTGTAAAAGTTTTGTTTCCTTAAAATGTCATTACCTTCTTAGAGGGACTTTGGGATGACTTTTCTTTTGTAAACATCATTGGAAGAAGCACTCAATTTAAGTGCTTCTGATATGCGACAACCGGAGCGTATTGGACTATTCGAGCCACAAGCCACTGGAATCCAATCGTATAGATGGTTTGAACTCGAAAAGCTAAGAGTTAGACGAATTACCTTTGCAGTTGATTACCTTGAGCAGACAGAATACTCACTATGCTCAAAGCCGGAAACACTCCACGAGTTTAGTGACCAACCAACCAAACATGCTCCGAGGGTAAAATACGAAAACCTATGTTCAACCACATAAAGGGATTCGGTATTT